CTTGTAAAAATGATATTTCTCCTCTAGAGTAATTCTTACAGACAAGGTTGTCACTGTGTATTTATTTAATAAAAAATTAATCTATATATTGTTACTATCTTGAACCATTTGCCTGCTGCTGTGTAGTAAAGTAAACTACTACATTTTTACCTTATATATATTTGCAATAATCAATCACTATACTGGGTAATCTTGTTACTTGGTTGTATTGTACCAAAAAGACTACAACCTTGTAACACTACTTTGGTCTAAACTATTACTTGCAGTTAGAACTAACTATTAAATTATTATACTCTTGTAAACTTTATTAGAACTTCAATACCTTTTTTTTCAACTTTTATTTCTTATTTTTGAACTTATAAAACTTCTCAAACTACCAATTCAGATGGCTTAGTATAGTATTCTAAGATTTATTTTCTTTAGCAATTTCTAGCAACCTGATTAGTATGTGTTTCTCTATACATATTATTATCTAATCTACTTTTTAGAAACTTCTAATAGTCTAGTAATACTATTGAAAGTCTATACTACCTCTTTATTTGGGATTTTTAAATGGGTTTTGTATTTTAGTTTTTTAGTATTATATACTTGATGGTCTTATTGTAGATTTGTACTAAAGTTTTATATAACACTAGTTATTAACATTTCTCTATATATATATAATATTATATTTTACATAAATATCTTGAGCTTTATTCAAGATAATGTTTCTAAGATTACTAATCATCTTCATTGTCCAACTGATTTACAAAATATAGTTACTATAATATAATTATAATTTTCAAATTTTACTATTCATAGAATTTAAGCACTAGACCTGTCACTTGGGAGTTAACAATATGTTTACTTTACTAAATTATTGCATTCTACTAAAAAAGATTTTTTATAAAATCTTTTAAAATAAATTTTAATAAACATAATTATATATAAGAATAACAATTAGAAAAATAATTTTTAAGTTTGAAACAATTTAATTTTTAACTAGTAATAATAAATATAAATATACTAGTATTATTGTTATTTTTTTTGAAACAAAAAATAAACAATTTAGCTTATTTTTAATAAATCTTAAAATAATATTATTAGTTATACAACAAGTTACAATAACAACAAACTTTATAAAAAAAATAACATATAGTTAATCATATACAAAAACAATAATAGAATAATTATTTATTATTTTTTTTTTTTAATGTTAATAGTAAGGCCATGTTTCTATCTTTATTAAATATTTAACTGAGATTTTTATATAAAGTTTAAATCTACTTTTAAAATATTATAGTAAGAATAGAAACTCGGACTAATTTATTTATGACCTAAATCAACTAGAGTAGCTAAGACTTATCTAGATTTGGGTGTTAATAATAATATATAAGAGATTAGTTTGATATTTAATCTATTATATATATCAAGGATTAATTTTAGAGCTAATAGTATTAAGAAAAAAAGTTTGTATTAATTGTGAAATAGAATTAAAAGATAAATTAGAAATAGAAAGATGAATTGTAAATCTTGAAATACAGTAAAAAGTCTAAATTTTGTAATAAATTTGCTAATTAAGATAAAGTAAGAATTTAGTAATAAGTGTTATAAATATTTTTGTAGATGATAAGTCTGCAATTATAGTAATAATTTTATTTGATACTAAGCCTGATAGAATTGAAGAAATTAAAGATAGGTCTAGTATACTGTGAATGAACATACAATTTAGTTGTTTGATTTGATAATATAAGTTAGTTATAATTTCTAAAATAGTATTAAAAATAGTAATATTAAGAGTATATTATAATAAGTCATTTATAAAATTATTTAATAATTGATTAGATAGACAAGTTGTCCAATAAAATTAAAAGCTAGTATAATAATATTGGTAACAGATAGATAGGTATGAGTGATAATGTTATATAAAATATATGAGATAGAAAGTTTATTCAATAAAATTTTAATTCTAAAGAACTTAAGAGTAAATAATTGAAAATTATATAAGAAATTTGAAATTTTTTAATTGTTGTTAATATACAGTCAGATGACTTACTAATTGATTTAATTAAGAATTTTTTTTTATTTATGAAAATAGTTTTGAGTAATTTATAGTACATAAATATGTATATAACAAATTGTACAAATACTATGATGAGTTAATAACACAAGAGAAAAATTTTCAAAAATAAGAATATAAGCTAAATAATACATATTATATGATATAAAAATAAGATATAGCAAGTTATAATGGTTACATATAAGTTGATTAACTAAATTATTGTATATATTATCTTAGTGAATAATAACTTTGTAAAAAATGATTTAAATTTTATATAAGTTAATAAAATGATAAGTATATTTCAAAATGAAAAATATAATATATGTATATATAATAGAGTAGTAGAGGAATTTAAAAGGTTTTGGTATTTTGAAATTATAGATTGAGAATTTATGTATATATTTACAGTATAGTAATAATAAGAACTGATAAGATAACAATAAGTTTTGATTTGAATGAGCAAGATCAAAGTTTAATTTATACCTAAAATATATAAGTATAGAATTATTGTTAATTTGAACTTATCCAATACTCATAGAATATTAAAAAGTACTTAAATTAATAACAGAGCCATCAGTATAGAAATGAAATTCTTGTTGATTAGTATTGTAATTAGTAATTTGTTGAAGTTTATAAATTAGTATACAAAATTCAAAAATAGTTAAGATTGAGTTTGTTGAAATAATAATATTGGGTAAGCTTAAAGTTTGAGTAGAATGTCTGATTATAACTAAATATAAGAGATTTAAATGATTGACATTAAAATTAAGAACTTTGTTATTTATGTTAACTTGATCAAAAAATTGAGTTGAAAGATTAGTAGGAATAGTGATTGTACATTTGTTATTAATTGTATATGAATTAAGAGAACACTAGAACATACCTGTGATTGAATAGATGCAAGGAGATATAAGTGGGTAAATTGTGATTCAATTTGACATTATATTTTTGTAATATATTTATAATAAATTTATAATAAATTTATAATATATTTATAATATTTATATATGTATAAACTATAATAAACTATATAATATTTTTGCTATATAATAATAATATAATAATAATATAATAATTATATCATAAATATATTTAGCAAAATTTGAAGTTTTTGAATAGTAAAACTCACCCGTTAAAGATTAGCAATATAATTATGTTTAAGAATCAGCTTTTTAAAAACATTGATAAAATTAATCTTTTGAATTTACCAAAAAGTTAGTAATGTTTGTAAAAGACAGACTGCTACGTAGATCATATAAGGAACAATATCGGATACCTTGGGATGACATAAAGTTTGCTTCAGTCGTAGAATTTCCGGGCTAACGTACGTACGTGTGTGTTTGATTATCTTGATTATCATTATACATCTTATATCAAAAGAAAATCGAGTTTGATGCGCATTTCTATATAAATATTTACTCAATCAGTGCAGCATCGACGCATACACTATTATGGAATTTAACTATAACATGCCTAAATATAATATGGGTGTATTTACTGCAGTTAAATGAACTGCACTTACGGAAGAAAGTGCATATAGAGTCGATAATAGCATACGTACAAAAAAAATTCAATTAAACTTTTTTCTATGAACCAATGAGAGATGCCTAAAACAAAATCATCGACGAGCGTCTTAATATTGGCGTGCGAACAGGCGGAATGTATAAATCTGAATTGTTAGCTTTATATAATATTTATAAATTATAGTGGATACAATTTTTATACAGTACTTGCGTAGTATTTATATGGTATTGATACTTATTGTTATATAATCTTAAACTTTATGTTGAAATAATTAATTTCAAAGAACGATTAAAAAAATTACCGAATACATAAAGGAATATTTACAGTGATTCTGTCTGGATATATGTGTGTAACTGGCTTATACATATCCATACCGTAACTGTAATACGTATATGATCCACGATCTTAAGACTTAGGGATGTTAATAATCTAGGCCTTAAGACTGCTGGATAACATACATCTATTATATAAAAATAATTTTATTATAGTTAGTATAAGTGTACTAAGTCAAAAATAATTGCATTAGCTTAAGATGACTGCATAAGGAAAAAAAAAACATGCGACCGTGAGATTAGACCGTGAGATTATAAAACTATGGTACTTAGCTGACTCATTTCTGTGTTACGTATTTCAGTATCCGGTATTATGTATGCACAGTTAGGATTTTGCTTCCGTACAACAGTGAATTTCCTTTTCAGTGGTTGTACCGTTAAAACTTAAGATTTGAAAAGATCTCGAAGTATCTTTAAGTCAGTACGTATGTTTTTTCTTTATCCGAATTTGGAAAGTGATTCTCGCCAATTAAGGTTTTCCTACATGTATGATGACGGTAAAGAACAGGTGGACAATATAGAAAAGTAAGCACTGCAAATGATTAGGAGCTAAATTTTCAAATGCAGTCGCGGAGCTCCGCAATGTTATCCGCTACGTATGACATCCATACATTCAACAAGCTGGTAGATGCATGCAAAAGATAGCCATATATCTGCCAAACGGGTAAGAAATGTTGCAAGCGAATATCTTTATTAATTTAAGTACATAGCTGCCTATTCTGTACTACTGTAAATTTCCTATTCTGTATTCTAACATTGCCATGTATGAAGATATAAACATTAAAACTTAAGATTTTTAATTGTATCCGACAAAGTCTCCGAATTAATTTGCATTACTTTTGTACTAGAACAAGTTTATGTACTTTAGCCGTAGAACTTAAGATTTGAAAAGATCTCGAACAATTCTAAGCTCCCGTCGAAAATATAAATACACGTACTTTTTTCGCCCTTTTTTCTATTAATTGATTTCATAAAAATTCATCCTATTAAAATTTTTTTTACATTTTTTAATTAAATAAACAAAAATTATTTGTTTACACCTATTATTCACATTTACAATATATATCATCATTATTTTGATTAATATATAGGACTTATTAATTATGTCCTTTCCGTGTCAACTACAACAACGCCGAGGTCCTTACGCGACTAAAGCATGTGCTAATTGCCGACAGAAACACATAAGATGTTCCGGGACAGCACCTTGCAAACATTGTACACTACGCAATATCGAGTGTGTTTTTATTAATTCTGGTAAAAAACGCGGACCAAAGACGCCATCTTCCATAACCCCTAACGCGAAGAGTCATGCATCAAGTTTCCCACAACAACTCGACAATTATATTCCTTTCTATTTTATTCCTTATAGTGCATTTCAAATCAACGTTTCTGAAGAACCCGTTCAATTTTTTAATCAAGCAAATTATGTTGTGCAAGATTTAACTTCTGACCTATATCAAAATAATGCGCCTTTTATTCATAATGCCACTTTAGATTTGCATAATCATGAAATTATTTCTTCTAATTTAGATTATTTGCATTCTGACCGATTTTGTAATTAATTGTATAGAAATGATATTACAAAGGAATTCTTTTTCATACATGTATATGCTATTTAGGATTAGTAATTTTTTTAAAAATATTTCTAATACTTTATAGCAAAAAAAAAAAAGCTTTAGAAATAAAACTCAAATATAAATTTTATTTGTTTGTTCAATAATTAAAAATTAATATACTATATATATTCAAAACTTTTTTTAAAAAATTACAAACTTAAGGTGGAGCAAGTTCATTGTAAAAAGTTTTATTACCGTGTTTCTCTATATAAACACCTATTACTGTATAGTAGATCACCTCGTAGTGAGTCCATAACTTGATGTGAGGCCCGGGCCCATAATGTGGATATTGTTCGGAGTGGAACGGAATGGGGGACCCTAAATTTCTTGCATGGTGATACAAATGTTGTGGCTTTGACACAATCTATTTTAGACATGTCAAAAAAGTAACGGTAATTCCAAATTTTCTGTCCATCCATAAATAAAAATATCATTGTGTTATGCTGTATAAGCAAACCCATAAAAAAACACAGTTGACGTCTCTCGTAAATATTTATAATATATTATAAATAATGTTAAATTGAGAGATCATCTGGTTTTTACTAAACGATTCGTATATTAAGAAAATACATAACACATATAAATACTATAAAAATGTGATGTCAGCGGTATTTTTCTATGGACGATGCTAGGGTGTTATACTGTATAATGGATCACTTTTTGAATACTTAATTTTTGTTTGGAGCTTAGCGAAAATCTTAATTTCTATGCAAAATGATACCAAAATCCCGTTTTTTATGTCTGTCGCCATTGCTCCGGACTAATAACGGTTGCCTTTTTTTAATATATTATACATAGTTATTTTATGTTGGTTTCATATTTTCACATGCAAGACCACCTGTTAGTGGTAAAAACTTGTTACGTACTACTGTAATAGATAACATATTTAATGGACTGTTACACAAAAGCTAGGTATTACGGTATTATATAACAGCTTACTTAGTACGTACAACCAATAAAAATACGCTTAATCAAACTTCAAAACTAAAAAATAATTGACGTGTTTTTAAATTTTTTTTTTTTTTTAATGTAATTATTTAATACTAACAATTCTCATTTATTAAAATCACTCATATCCACCGAATTGAACAAATCCGATGACCCTGCTATGGATGATACATGTCAAGTTTTTCGATTCTAAGTTTAATTTTGTCAGCTTCTAAAAATTGTTTCTTGATTTCATTATCATCATCAATTTTTGTTACCAATTATAGTTGCTGTGTGTCGTTTATTTTTATACTGTTCCATACATCTCTTTGCCAATTTAACATAACAATCAGGTGTTCCATCGTCAAATCCTGGTCGCCTTCCTTTGCAAATTTTTACTGAAAGACGGAGATTAAAAACGTTCTCTATAAAATACTTTTCTTCCAGTAGATACCTCAGACATGATAACTCCAAAGGCGTAGATATCAGCCGCTTGTGTAAATGGTTAACGCATCAAAACTTCGGGTGCTACATATGGCATAATACCTAAAATTTCTCCATCTGCTTCATAGTAGATGATATTGAAAGTTCTAGATCCGTAATGTATGCACTCTTCCCGGAATGTAAATCTCGATGAATCAATTCTTGAGAATGGATTGATTCAAGGTCTGAAGCAATACAATACAACAGACTTAATTTATTTTTTGTGCTACTGATCGAAGATTTTGACTCAAAGGTCCTTTACTCGTGTATTCCAAAATGATTATATAATATTTAGAGGTATCATCGATCTCACAATATCTTTTCAACTATAAATTATTAAATTTTTTTTAAAAAAATAAAACATTAATTGTTTCCTTTGAAAATCTTCTTAATTAACAATACCTCGTTGACAAGTTCTTGATTACATTAATATTACCTCGTTGATAAATTCCTGACTACAGTCATTTGAACCACGAATCAATTTAAGCGTAACAGGTATCCAAGTACTTGCATTTTTATCGAACCAAATTACATAATACACGGTCGCAAATCCACCATCCCCTATCCCTTGTATATTTTCAAATTCATTATAAGGAATCCATAATAAACGATACATTTTTCATCATTTAACATTATTTTCAAATTATCATCAATGTCCTCACACGATAATTGGTTGGTTTTTTTTAAACCTCTTTCCATTCGATATCAATGATTGGCTCGTTGTATGTCTCTCGATACACCGATTCCATTTCGATAACAGTCACCAACATGTAAACATGCTCGAACGTTACCCATCTCCACGGCTTTTTTTGAAATATTCAAAAGCTTTCATTTCATCCCTTTTAACTCAAATAACAAAGACCAATTTGCTTTGCTGCTTTATCATACACCATCTCTAGTGATTTTTGATAATAACTAACTGCCTGATGCTCATCCTTTTTAATTCCCATTCCATCTCTATAACAGTTACCAAGTACAAATAATCCTTTAGCATGCCCCATCTCTGCTGATTTTTGATAATACATTAATGCCTTATATTCATCTTTCTCAACTCCAATTCTGTTTTGATAACAATATTCAACCTTATATATTCCACTAACATCCCCTTTTCTGCTAATTTTTGATAAGTAATGAATGCCTTATTTTCGTTCTTTTTAATCCCAATTTCTTTTTGATCATGATATCCAACATTATATGCACCATCATTATATTCATTTTCTGCAGATTTTTGATAATAAATGAATGCCTTATATTCGTCTTTTTCAACTCCAACTCCATTTCGATAACAATATCCAATATTATATACTTCATTACTGCTTCCCATTTCTGCAGATTTGTTATAATAAATTAATTCCACTAGCGTGCCCATCTCTACTGACTTTTGATAATAAATGCATGCTTTATGTTTATCCTTTTCAACTCCGATACTTTTTCCCATTATTGCGCATTTGCGAAATACCCAAAAATTTGCGAAATTTGACTACTAATATGTAAATATAGATTTTACTGAGATACTCAAGTTATGATGCGTCATTTTAATAAATTCCTATGTCTAATGAGATGCGTTGAGGGTGAGAAGATGGTTAGACTCATTATCGGTACAGATTGGGGTCTGAAATTTTTTTCTGGTTTTAATATTGATTGATTAATATATAATTTGGGGACCAAATGATTGGACTTGGTGACAAATTGTTTGCTTAATTTCGCTAACGCACAGTAATACATAGCAACGTCCAACACGATACATTCCATCAGCGTCATCCTTCTCGCAGCTTTTTTTGATAATAAATGAATGCTTTATGTTTATCCTTTTCAACTCCGATACCGTTTTCATAACAAATGTGCAACATCAGAATTTCATCAGCGTCACCATTATCCACAGCTTGTTGACAATAAATAAATGCCTTATGTTCATCCTTTTCGACTCCAGTTCCTTTTTCATAGCAACGTCTAACATTATATGTTCTATTAACATTTCCCATATCAGCAGCTTTTTGATAATAAATAAATGCCTTATCTTCATCCTTTTCGACTCCAATTCCTTTATGATAGTAATCACCAACACTATATGTTCCTTTAACGTGCTCCTTCTCTGCAGATTTTTGATAATAAAGAAATGCTTTATGTTCATCTCTTTTAACTACAATTCCTTTATGATAGTAAAATCCAACATTATATGCACCGTCACCATGTCCCATGTCTGCAGATTTTTGATAATAAATGAATGTCTTTTGTTCATTCTGGTCAACACCAAATCCATATTGATAAAAATAACCAACCTTAAATGTTCCATCAATGTGCCCCATCTCTGTTGATTTTTGATAATAACTGAAATGAATTATATTCATCCTCTTCAACTCCAATTCCTTCTTCATAGCAATATCTAACATTATATATTCCACCAAAATTTCCCATTTCGATAATAAATGAATGCTTTATCTTCATTTTTTTCAACTTAATTCCATTTTGATAACAATGCCCAACATGATATGTTCCTTTAGCATGCCCTATCTTTGCAGATTTCTGATAATAGATGAATGCTTTTTGTTCATCCTTTTCGACTTTGATTCCATGTTGATAATTATATCCAAGATCATAAGGATCTAACTTTGATAATGTTTCATGATGAATTAAATTATTATAATTCTCCATTTAAATACAAAATCTTAAGAATTTTGGTTCACTATCTAATAGCACAACTTATTTTGCTACGTATACATTTATCAAATTTTTGCCGCGCCACAAACCTCAAGACGTGCCTAAACTAGAGATCGGCTAAAGCGGAGTTAATTCAATATATGATCTACATATTGCATAAATTGCATCCTTGATATTCTATATAGCCCTCTAACCCTAACTGCATCAAAAAGGTAACTCTAAAACTCGCTCCGCTTTAGCTGGCCACCTAAGCAACTAAACAACGAATCAGATTTCAAGATCAGATGTAACGTAACACTTTCATTCCTTGAGCATATAATCAAATTATTGTCACGCCACAAACTTGGCACACATTCAAGACGTGCTTATACGGCATACGGCACTTCTACTTATGCGACAAATGTGCTGTATTGCCGTGGTAGTGTGCCGAGGATAGCTACCTAGTGTGGAGGGAGGGTTGGGTCGAGAAGTTTTGATTGTCTAAGATTATTGTGCTGAAAAGTAAGAGTGTCGAAAGCGACTTTTCGTCGACTCTTTATATATCGATTATGATCCTATTACGTATCTCTTATTATTTGACGTTTGATTAATCTATTTAATATCGACCTGTGCTCTTCTATTACAATCAATTGGTGAAGGGTTGTAGCACGTGGTGTGCAACTGTTCTAGCTTTTCTTTCGATCTATTTACATGCAGGAACTTCAATCCCGCCATAATATAAAATGAGCTGGCATTTTAGCATTTGAAATTAATCCTGCTGTGTATGAGTGATCGATTGGTTAACAGTGTTTAGTGAAAAATTAGATCTACTGTTTTGGAAGCTTGGGTATGTCACAAGAGGCAACAGTATCGGTTTCCTGATGTTAAAGTGATGATTC